CACAACATTGGGGCGCAAGCATTCTGCATCCTGATCCTATATCCTTCTATATCACGCTCCCAATATATATATTTTTTTATAACTATTGTTAAACAGCCGACCCGATTTTGAATTTACGACTACCAATGTTTAACTACGTACCCCTGTAATTTTGAACCCAATCCAGAAAACAAAAGAATTCCTGTATCAAGTATTGGGAGTAATTTGCCTTCGAAAAGGATTTTCTTTGAGAGATTTAACCCTTATTTGCGTTACATGGAGAGGAAAACCTCCCAAGTTTTTACTTGATTCTGTCACGCACCCTCTGTGTAAAGTTGCTGTCCCCATTTTTGTTGCTCATTAACACTAAAATTTATAATTGCTACTAGCCCTCCACTCCTTGCTCGCTATTTTTATCGCTCCGCTCGATGTTTAAAATCTTATTACAGTTATTGTTTATTTTGTTTTATTAGTTTTCTAGTTAAATATTTGATTATAATTTAAGGAAGAAAGGAATTTAAAACCTTTTAAATAAAAAAAATATGAAAAACATTTATTACATGAAAAAAAAAGCATGTAAGTCTCTTCTAAATAATTATTATTGTATATTTTGATATTTTTCAGCTTGAATACTCTCACTCAAAGAGGATTGAAGAGTCCACTAATTTGATATACATAGGAGGGAATGAATGCTAGACTATTTTTGCATTGACCTCTGAATTGCAATCTGAACCTTATCATTGTTGATTGTTGCATTAAGATAACATCAGTTAAACATGATATATTTGTTAAACCCAATTGTTTATAATATTCAATGTTGTGTTTTTTTTTTAAATACACTTTAATGGGGATATGAACCTTTTATCTGGATATATTTTTTTAATAATAGCATCTTCTGAGACTTAATTACAAAATTTTAAATATTAATTACCAAACTTAATTAAAAAATTATTTTAGTTCAAAATGAAGATTTCAAAATGAAGATTGCATTTAAAATTAAATTGAGGAATTAAAAAAGAAAATGAAAATTTTATCCCGATCAGAAGGTTATTTTTCTAAAATAGTTCAAGCAATTCTTTAGGTCAATTCTGTATACTAATATAATGACAAATGTTTACTTGATATATATGACCAATCTATGTCATTCCAATATATTCATATTTCTTACATTCCACAACCTAAATGCAACAATTAAGAAATAACGTCATGTAAAGATATTTTGCATTAAATGTTATGTATACAAAAATAACATAATATTAATATTGCTGATTGTATAGCATATTAAAATTATAATACGTTAGAAGATAGAAATATACCTGAAATTTTAATAGAGTATTTTGTTCTGAGTAATGCTCACCTTTCTTTGGGAACTTTATTTTATTCTTATTTAAAAGTAACTATACAGCCGTAAATTAATCGTTTAATAATTTGGTTGCTAATATCGTTCCGCTATTATTTATTCCGAAAAAGTCTAAGATCTCTCCAAGCATATCTTTTAAAATTCGGTAATGAGTTTAAAATATCTTTTTTTAAATGTTATTTCTTAATGTTAATTTCTCAATAAATATTTATTTTTAATATTATTTATTAATAGTTAGATTGCAATTGTAATTATTTGTCACACATTTTTAGCTTTTTCAATTTTTATTAAGCTGCCATGCTTTTGTTTATTTATTTTTAAGATAGATGGATAGCGAGCATTTAGCGTTATTTGCGAAAGCATTTTAAATAGTGATATAAGCATCCGAAACATTTCATGCCGTTTGAGTTTTATAAATTTTATTCCGGAATTATGTAATTTTTTTAAAACCAGAATTGTCATTACCATACACAACTGTAATTTTATCAGAATTTTTTTTCTCCATGTGGCAAGGATTCTTAAAACATATTAAGGGGAATGGTTACAAAACACTCTGTATAATTCCACCATCAAAATATTTTCATTAATTTAAAAAGTAAATAATTATTTATGTAATACATAAACTTTTAACATAAAATTACAAACAAAAAAAATTTGAAATTCTGCCCTAAATATTATCTCTTATTGCTCATTTTTAAACCCATTTCAGATCTCTGATATTGAAAGAAGTTTAACTACTAATTAACTGAATTAACACTGTGAGTAGCTTTTATTTGTAACTGGCATTCACAAAACAAAATACTAAGTATTTTGTAACATACAATTTGTAAAAGACAATCTTTTAAAAGACTTTACTCTCACCATTCACTATATTTTATTAGCTAAATGGACAGTAACTATATTTTCAAAATAATTCTTGGGTAATTTAAATATCTATATATATTTTAAACAATGAAAACTATCTGACCTATATGAAAACAAGCGCTGACACAGTCAGAGATTCCTCTGAAATTTAAATGAATTATACATAAAGTTTAATTATTCATCACTGAATTACTAATAAGTTGTCGGCAAATAGTAATTATTTGAATTCTAAAATACTGCTAGAATTAAAAATGGCAGCAATTACAATTAATTGGTAAATAGTTCGCAGATAGACCAATAACTGACTAACTTTTCTAAATTCCCTTCATCCTATGCAGTAAAATGTAATTCTATATATTTATTAATTACATACTCTGAATGTAAACAATGAGTACGAATTTTGGAAAATTTCCACAAAAAACTGTCCGTGCTGAGAACAAAAAGTTAATAAGTAACAGTCTGACATTCGTGAACTGAATTCGAAATTGCTCCTGAACAAAGCATCATGTAGATATTTTTCTATGTTATCTGAGTAAAATTTGATAATGTGTACATTGTTAATTCGTGAGAAAAACTGTTAAATAACAATCTTTTAAAGTGTTATTTTACCATATTCACTAAAAAACAGTCAAATAATCATAAAAAAAATATTGTATTCAAATTGCTGACTGCAAGAAAATTGTTTTTTAACTTTTTTTTAACCTAATACGGTTAAACAACCGTAATTTTATCTGCGCCAGCTAGACCCACATTATGACGCTATTTAGTTCATTGCAGCTAGGCACATACCATATCCGAGAGTGCTTATCTGTCAGTCTCATGTCCGACTTAACGGGGATTCGAATTCATTGCGGTAAATTGTGCTTGATGATTTAGCCGCAATTAGTAGCATCGCTTTCGGTGCCAAGTTACAATTTATTTTGATGAAAAAGTTATTTGTTTTATCGCTTATTTTAAACTAACCAGCAAGGGCGACAAACAATAATAAATAAAATTTTCAATTATTTAAGCTTCATTTTGTCTATAGATGCACTGAAAAAAAAAAAAAAAGTATGGTCGACACTCTGAGAAAATTTAGCGGTTTCTAGATCTATGGGAACACCACCAAAAAGCTCGATAATTTTCACTAAAGCGCTGATTTTCATAAAATCGACAATAAAATATGGTTTTATAATATGCGATAAAATTAGGAAAATGGTGCAGAATTTTTTAATTTTATCATGATACCTTAGAGCAGTGTTTCCCAAAAAGTGTTCCGAGGAACCCTAGGGTTTCTTGAAAGAGTTAAAGGGGTTAGAGTTCGGACATTTGTTTCAACCAGCAACCCTTGAAACATTTAATTAGAGTTTGATCCAAAAAACAATCCATTATTTATTTCGTATTTCGGTTGTCCTTATTAAATTATTTAAAGTAAAATGTCATTGATAAAGAAATGGATAATGTTTTAATAAATATAATTTTTCTAATAACTATATCTTGCATAAATCATGAAAAGATCATGTATTTATAAGACTTTTATTATTATTTCAAAAGAAAATAAAATTATCATATTTATTAATTACGAAATACGCTTCCTGAATAACGATCTTCAACGCTTATAACAGCTCGTTTTAGTTTTTATTTCAAGGAAAACCATATTTCTGCTTATTTTATTCACTTTCAGCTACAAGCATACATTACACATAAAACAAATTTATCATTAGACTAAATACTAGACTGTCGGACATAAAAACTGGTTTAAGATTGTTGATGATAAAACGATGAAAAAAGTTCCTTCTTCTTTCATGTCTTTTGAATAAAGTCTTTCATTGGTAAATACGTTAGCAATTGTCTTTATTTAACTTTATCTATGAAGTTGGGCTCCAACGAAAGATGGTTATTCAATTAGAGTTCCATTGCCGATAAAAATTGGGAACCGCTGCCATAGAGCACAGCATATAAACCGTTTAATCGGTGGAATTTACTTTTTAGTTCAGTTTTGTGTATTTTACTAAATGTAATGAGAATTATAATTTTGAAAACCAGAATTTCTATTAAACCGTTGACATATGAACGGAAAGATTACCGAATGAATAGTTTAAGGGATCGTTCAAAAAGTACATACATCCCGAAGGGGGGGGAGGGGATTTGCTATTTTGTACAAAACCGTACAATGGGGAGGGGGTAGGTATTATACAAAGTACGTACATTATAAGCATACACCAAATTTAAATTTGACTTTTTCCTACACATGTATTATACATATGCTTGTTCTTGTATTTTTTTTCACACGGCGACCAATTGTTAGAATGAGTAAATCAGTTCTCAAAAAAAGTTGTCTCGCAAAATAAAAAATTGAAAACACCAAACTGTTTAAATAACTTAAATGAATAAATTATTTTAAATAAATATTTAATTTTATTTAAAACATAATTATTTTAATTTTTATGAAAAAGGGGGGTGGACTAATAAAATGTACGTACTCTAAGGGGGGAGTAAGACTTTATGTACGGTAATGTACGAAGGGGGGGGGAGGAGGTTAAAATTTCTCCATTTTTTTGTACGTACTTTTTGAACGGCCCCTAAATAGCGCATATTTTGGTTTTTATTACAAGAATTATGATTTATTTATTTTTTTTACCAGAAATGTCATTATTAACTATATAGTATGATGATTTTACCAGAATTTTTTTCTCTCTGTGCCTATGCCTTTAAATTTTGTATATAATTCCGTAGTGCTAATTTATACTAATTTATTGATTTTTTTAGGCCTAATATAGAACAAGTTTTCATAAAATAAGACACACACAACGTGAAATCAGGATAAGTCATTTATTCATGAAAAAAAAAAGTTTTAATTCGGAAATCCTTCTTTAAATGCTCATAAATGCAAACATATTTTTGAACAAGTATGAACACTCGATAAGATTTTTCTGAACTGACTTCAGAATAAATGCTTTTTCGGAAACATAAATAATTTATAAGAATTCATCTTCCAACTACTCGGCATCACAACATAACGACTAAAGTTTAAGTACTCTACAAATTTTCTTATAAAGCACAATATAAAAACCTACATTTATATAATCAATATATTTACACAGTTTCCAATTTACAATATATCTAACAAATAATTGAGTAACATTTTCATGAATGATTTTTAAGGAAACAATAATTTATAATGTCTGTCAATTTCTTAAAAATGCATAAAAATATATTTTAAAGTTTTTCATAAAAGCATACCTATGTCGTAATTGTCATGTCTTAAGTTGAATAATAAAAAATATATTAGTTTTACAAGTCCGTTAATTGTAATATATTTACAATGTTATTAGAAAAAAAAAAGGATATTTTTTTTCTTCTAAAATGTACTATTACATTGAATGCATACTATATAAGACAGATATTTCTTAGACAAAATCGTTTAACAGCAAAACAAATAATTTACAATGAATATATTACACAATTTTACAGTATTTTATTACATATAAATAGAAATTATACAATCTTTGGTACATTTTTTTACTAGACGTGTCAGTTGAAAGACTTATTATTTGAAGGAACATAATAGAGTATGAATCAAGAAAATATATTATATACACGGTAGAACATGTATTTGTGCAACTCTCATCGGCGAGATAAATAAAAAGCTTCAAAATCGTATCCTATTTAAATGAATTAAACAAAGTCAGTCCTAAAAATGAAGAGTTTTGAACAATATAATGATAAGACTTTTTCCCCCAAATGTTATATCCTTACATGAAACTGTTCCTTAGTATTGCATCCATGTAGTTGCAAATTTCCAAAGTTTTCACTAGATGGCAGCACAAAATTCTTATTCCCTACGTGTAAATCTAAATGTTTTTCAACATCTTAGAACAGTTTTTCTGGATAATTTAGAAATATGACTTATCGTTATACTGTTCAATTTTTAAATGTATAGCAAAAAAAAAAATAGTTGTTTTAATTCCTTTAGAACTTAGACATGTATGCATTTTTTGTAAAGAAATTAATAATATTTTTTTTTAATCTTATACTTCTTTTTATGCAAACATATAATCGAAACGTTTTAATGTGTATCTATGCTGAATTATTTATCGTTATTCATAAACTCATATTAGGAAACACAATATTATAATTCTATATAAGCAAGGATCTATCGTTGTATATAGTTCATATACAAATGCATAAAATTGGGATTGCATTATTTATTATTATATTATTTATAATTACATTATTTATTAATACAATATTTATTATTATATTATTTATTATTATATTATTTGAAGTATTGTATGAATATTAATAATGTGAATATTAATTATTAATTATATGAATACTATTTGTGTATTACATGAATAACTATTAATCACTGCATTATACTTGTAATTAATTTTATTTTGACTGGATACAATTATTCCTCTTATTACCCTAAATGCTCAGAAATGCTAAGCTTTTTACCACTTTCAAATGAATAAAATTAATTTAGATAAATAATAATAGTTATCATTTATTTTATATTTACCCACAATGGGCAATATTTAAATTTTGCTCATTGTAGATTTTCGGCACATAATAGATATTTACGATTTTGGTGCTTTTTATTTTGGTTCAGTTTGCAAACATTTGTCTTAAAATAGTCTGTAACAAATGCATTTTAGCTTGCACAAAGTGATTTCTTGTTTTCACAATTTTACACACGGTGAACACATTTACACATTATTTACGACTCATCGCAAAAATCTCTCAAATAATTTTTTTTTCACTCGGCAATAATTTCCTCTCCCAGCGTAATCAATTATTTCACTGAACAGTCATCGATTCATGTCTTTGGCTACAACTTCAAATCAAAAACCACAAAAAAAAAGGAGAGAAAAAATTCTTTGGCGACGTTCACATTTCACCTCAAACCTGGTGACGTTGTTTCTGCATCATTGCCATTGGTCTGTTCTTTTCTGGCATATATGTAAGGCATATATCGATGATTTTGTGAACTTTCAGTTGTTGTAGGATGACTAGGCATTGGCCTCAGTGCACCTATAGGCGGTGGACATGCCCCAGAGGCCATATTGTTCATCAGCATATTATACTGACTTAGTCCAGATAAAGACGCGGGGCTTGAAGCCCAGTGCTGAAGTACATGGGGCGGTACCATCATGGCCCCTGCTCTAGAAAATCCATAGGAATGAGGTGGTAAGCATCCTGCTTGGGATGCCAGAAGTGGGTAGGAATCACCAGCAGAGTATCCCGAAGCTGGGTTTCTCCAGTAATAGGGTGGCCTAGATGTAAGGCCTAACATTTCAGCCTTGTCGCGCATGAGCAAACAATTCAACTCATCTCTTTCATCCATGAAAGGACGTAGCGGAGTCCTTGAGTAAGTATGCTCTGTCATCAACGTTTCCATTGACTCCCTGGAAGAGCAATACAGGGTTAGATCCTGTAGTTCTAAACTGAAATCAAAGAAATAAAGGACATGTTGTAATAAAATCATTTAATTTAACAAGGGTTTAACAGCACATAAAACATTGACAGAATTACATAGTACATATAAAAACATTTGCCTGAACCTCAATTTCAAATGCTCAAACTAAAAATTCAGATTAAGTCTTAAATTAAGATTCAAATTAAGTCCTGAGGTAAAATTCAAAGAAAATTCGAATTAAGTCATTCATCTTAAAGAAATTCAAATTAAGTCTTAAGTTAAAATTCAAATTAAATCGTCAGGGTGAATGATTATATGTATTAAAACCATTCACATATTTCATGTCTATCTAAAATGAAACAATTATATGGTGTGGCCATATATTTATAAAGACAATCGAATCTCTGCAAAATAACCTAATGAATATAATTAAAAAAAAAGAAACTCAAAATAGGCCCAAGTGATAAAGGCGAAGTCAAACAACATTGCAAATAATTACAAAATTTTTTCAGCAATATTTATAAAATACAATTAAAAGTTAAGTTAAGGCAAACCCACAACTGTTTGAATCTGAATCAACAATGCTTTGGTCGAAACTATTTTATTTCAAACTATGTATAAGACTAATTAATTCCATGCGACAAATGCACTTTCGCTAGTATCTATGAAACCTATTAAACTACTAAAAATTCATGACCATTAAAGATCCGACTCAACAAAAGCATCAGTCAAAAGGTGCTCACGTACCGGAATTCGTCAAAAAGAATAACCATCCTCGAGAAGTCGTAAATGAATTGCAAAAAGCAGGTGATATCAAATCAGTTTCAGCGTCTAATTTCATCGCAGAGCGTAATATAACCACACACAGGCACTTTCGAACACCAAGAAGTTGAAGTAGGTAAGAAGAAAAAAAAATCAACGTAGCTCAAGATTGAATTTAGCCATCTATCATACCTTGACAACCATTTATCGGCAAACCTAAATCACAGGGACTGAATACCGCCGATGTACCTCAATAACAGACCTTTGCAACACTCCTTTGCTGGGTGGGCGGGTTATCTGTCCATCTCTTTTACACTTCCAAAGGGTCTCCCTTCCCCCCTTTTTTTATTATTATTATTCTTTTATGAGTAGGTATGCATTATTATTATTATGGCCTCTTTTGTTTTGCTTATGTTTTGAGAGCTTAGCACAGGGTGGGAGGAAAGTTCAAAAGATGCCGGGCTGTTAGATAGCCTCCTGGCTGTTGCTTTGCGTTAGTGTTGATTGCCGGAGAGTGCTTAAAATCGTTTTATTTTTTTATTCCCTGCCTTCGACAGAAATGGAATGAATTTTTATGCTGTGAAAATCGGGTTAAGGAAAATAACTTTCTTTTTTCTTTTTTTCTTTTTTTATAGGAAGGAATAAGGAAGTTTTACTTGCTAAAAAAAGAAACGGTGATTAAAGTGAAAAATATATCGGCAAAACGATCTTAATTTAACTGCTCTTTAAATTCAACTGTTAGCATTTTCATTGATACTAAAAATTTGTTTTACATTAAGCTTGCAAGAGATGCAAATAATTAATAGCTACCCGGAGAAATTCTGAAAAAATAATTCAGGTTAATAAAATCAATAAATACGGTATTTAAGCTTTCATTTGATAAATTTTCCGATCACATGATAACGGTTTACCAGAAATTCTGGTATTCGAAATTATAATTCTTATTTTACCACACATTTAGTAAAGAATGCGAAACAGAAAAGCAAAATCCGGCTAACGTTGCAGGTTTCAAAATACCGGTTAAACGTTGAACCAATTTTTCTAAGAGTATAGTCTGATTAAGAAAATAGTGATTAGCTGTTTTCTTTGCAGTCTTGCTATGGAATTATTTTGAAAATTACAACTTCAAGAAAGATATTTAAAAAATTCTGAATCTTTTCGTAAATAATTTTCGAAAAAGTAAGGATTTTATACTTTAAAAATTACAAACTAATTTATATAAGCGAATAATTACTTTATAGACCTTACAGTATTTACAACATTTTGCACATGTGATATTAGGACCAAAGTTAGTTACGTTAAATAAAATTTAAAAAATATTATAATTCTTAAAAATAATAATCAATCCATTATCACTATTCAATAATTAAAGCTGTGACTCATTACTATTACATTTATCATTAGTTATTAATTGCATTTCATAATGAAAATCATTGCAAATTAATTTAATGATAACGTATTTATTTTTATTTATTTAGGATTCTTAGTAAATACATAATTTTTTAGTAAATATGTTCCGTTCAAAATTATTATCATTTACTTTTAAAATTTATTTTTTAAAATCATTTTCTATTAAAACTATTAAAAATGTAGGATCTAGTTGCAAGTTGAATTTAAGACGATATTGAGTACAAATTGATTTCTCAAGATTAAATCTATCTTCTAATTATCTAAAATTTCAAATAAGTAAATAATATAAAATATTAAATTAAATTATTTCAAATTCATTCATTTGAATTATTTTTGTTATCATTGATGTGAAATCCAAATTTAGTCAGTTCTTCTATTTTCTATATCTACAACTAAATTCTGATGTCAGCTGTATTTATAATAGCATCGCTTTAAACCTCATCGTTTATTATATTAATTCAAAATAAAACATGCACCCAATAATGACATATCATAACAAATGTTTTTATTCAATTTCCAAATCATTTCAGGCTTCCTTCCTCATCGGGTTTGATTATAAATGATCTTGAATTTAACCAATTACTTCAACCCCAGCCATTCCTCTAAACATCTACACTTTAACTCATCTCTAATATTAGATATGCTTTTGACGCCAAATCAACTGCTACAGCCCCCTAGCGACGAAGTATTTACTGTTCTAAATACCACAACTGATATCCCGAGGGAAATTCGCAAATTTGCACTTGCTCTATCATCAACTCTGTGGCAGGGAGTTGCCAAAGTGTGTTCGGCTATCTTTTCAGCACATGTCATTAGCACTAATCGAATAAGTGCTATCTATTCATTACATCGTGTAATACATCATAGCTTCTGCCTTTCGTGGTTTATGAAATTATCCAGAACGGTAACTGAAGTGGAGGAGAAATTCTGAAAGGCTTGGACACGTAGGTGTAGACAAACTCTTATAAATATTTTAAGATACAACGGCGCGTAAGCTGTCGTTAATTCCATCGCGATCTTTTTAATGGAAGCACTTTTAAATTTAAAAAGAAAGCGGATTGAGGATATTCACAAGCTTTGCAGAATGAGAAGTAAAATGACTTAATTTGAATACTTTAATAAATATGGAACAATAATTATAATCAATAAAATTATTACAAAAGCTTATTTATGACCTCAGCATATAGAAGTTGTAAATTAAGGGATTCATCATTTTACTTCAGTTCAGACGAAAACAATAGAAGGAAAAGTGAATGCATATATATATATATATATATATATATATATCAAAAATAGTATTTTNATATATATATATTCCTGCATCAGCAAATCCCTAACAACGTCCTTACAAAGACTGGTATTTTCCTTAATTAAATTTAACTCTACTAATGTGCCAAAACGTCTGCACTCAGACATGTTACAGGCAAATCCGGCTCGCAAACAGTGAAATATGATTACTGACTGAGAGGGGGGGGGATTGTTTTTTTCCTGTTATGACGAGGGGAAAAGGAGCTCTGGAGATCTTCCGTTAAGATCCCAAGTGTGGACAGAAGTCAAAACTGAATTATAAAAAAATGTAACTTTTAGCAGCTCATTCCAAGATGAACGTGGGTGGCATAAGTGTTGGGTGTCCGGACACGGGCCATTGCCGGCCGTCATCAAGCTCAGCATCTTGCTCTGGTAAGATGATCTCCAAAAGATGCCAAGATGAAAGAAGGCAATTAACAACCTCGACAAGTCGGACACAACCCGCAGGATTGAATTTCATATACATATTTTGCAGTGTGGGAGGTCTCGAACGTTTTTTACTCTGTTTCACAGGGCTGAGTGCCAAACAAGCTGGCTTGTTGAAACTCTAATTCGGACTAAGGAGCTGAAACAACCTTCCTTTTTTTTGCTCTCAATGTATTTGATTTGAAATAAAGATTAGGATATTCTCTTTCCTTTAAGTCGGTTGCTTTCTCTGCTTTTTTTTTATTCGGTTAAGATAAATGACTGGAGAAGTCGATAAAGGATGTTGTCGCCTTGTCTTCTGGCGGTGCTAAGCATAAAAAATTTCTCGACCCCAGTCATTTGGTGATGTTCTAATGATATCTCGTAATCCAAACGGGAAGTTCTATATGAAATGTCACTACGCATGTTGCCTCAGTATCAACAACACAACGCTACGGGAGAAGGGAAGGAAAAAAAAACCATCTGAGGTTAAGAAAAAAATATATGTAATGTAAATATTTTAACTTTCTCAAGGATAAAATTCTTTTTTTCGAACGTCAAGACAAATTTCATTAAGAAACACTAAAAATGATCGAAAACCGCAAACATTTTATAACAGTCGTAAAAATAAGTGTTTCTTTCTAAGTGTTAAGTCTGGGTCACACTATTAAATAATTTTAGTTGCGTGTAGTAATAGTATTTGAGTAAATAGGCTGTGGATAGATTTGGATGCAATAAAAACGACATTTCACATCAAAATACTAACACTGTAAGTGATCATTGATTGAATTATTTTTTTATCAAATAGTTGAAGAAATACGCCCAAAATCATAGCTTTCTATTAGAAGTTTTAATTATTATATTCTAAATAATAATAAAAATATTTTATATTATTTATCACTATTTATAGTTTGGACATATATACAAAAAAATTACTCGAATTAAAAAGCTACAAACCCAAAACCTAATACGTTTTTTTTTAAACCTTATCTATTGCTTTATTTTTTTTTTCTTTTTGATAATTCATGAAAATTCAATAACAATAACTTGCTTAAAAATAAAAGCCTTATTTTTAACCTATATATATAAATATATATTTTTTAAAAATCAATAAACTAAAACTGAAAAAGCGATTTGTTGTAAAATATCCAAACAATTATTTTTAAAAAAAACGTTGAAATAAACAAATAATAAAATAAAGAATAACTGATTACTGTAATACACAACACTAAAGGAATAAGTGGGCCATAAGCCCCGGTGAAACAAACCTTAGCTATTTAAAATAAAAAATCTAGTTATAAAAATATCATTTTTGTTCAGTGTTATTTCATAGATGTTCGCAATAAAAGATTTTAATATTTACGTGACACATTAGAAAATTTAATTTGAGGAAAAGTGTTTCATAAAAGATATTTTTGTGGTTCCAATTGTTAACTGGTGTACATCATTACAAGCATTACATCATTACATTTACATACATTAGTATATTAACTGTCATTCGAGTATATTAACTGTCATTCGAGTATATTAAAATAAGATATCAAGTTTAGAGTGTAAGCTTACCTTTCTAATTCTGTTAGCCTTGAAGAGTCTCTGAAACCTTTGGCAAATGGATTGCTGTCAATTTTTAATTTGGTGATCTGAAAACAAAATCTATTTAGAATACAATTTAATTTAAACATCTATTGTTTAAAATAAGTTTCAATAATGATCTATTTTGAACTTAAAGAGATAAAACTAATTTAAACATGAATAAATTAAAATGAATACTTTAAAATCTTTGGATATTTATCCTAGAACTGAAAAAGCAAATCTAATTTAGTCACCGCTTAGTTAAAATTAAAAACTTCAAACAAATTGGATTGTAATTATTTTATCAATAAAATTAATATTACACTTGACAGTTATAATTAGGACTTGTTTAATTAACATTATTTATATTCGAAATACGGACGAATATGAGCATAAACTTCTGATTTTGAATTTTAAACTTCTGATTGGCCATTTCTAATGAAAAAAAAATTGTGATTCAGCAATCTCTTTAAAAAATGAGTGCGATTCCGTATGAAAATAATTTACACTTACCAGTTGATTTTGGTAAGCTGTAACTGCAGTGAAAACAGTTTCAGGAAATATATAGGTCCGGTATTCTTCCTTCAGAAGGTCTTCCGAAATTGTTAAATTTGTATTTCCAGATTTTTTTACCAGGTGGATACGAGGTTGATACCGGTGCATTGAGTTAAGAACAATCTGTAAAAAAGAAATTATATCTTATATTTTTCAAAATAATAACAATAGAAGTAGTGTTTATAAATTTTTTAACACCTTTAAGCTTTATATAAAAACTAAAGTAAATAAATAAAAAGTTTATTGATGCTATGAATTTGTTAATAAACAAAGCAGAAATTAGTAACAAATAAATAATAGAGTTTCCGTAACAGTTATTAATTTATCACCTATTAATTTTATAATTATTATTTTTATTATAATTGATAATTTTTTTACATTTATTATTAGTGTATCAATTTATTATTTGTTAATAAGCGTACAATGAATTTATGAATGTTGAAATGTTAAAACGAAAAAAAGTATTCAGATTTGTTTTTAAAATACCTCCTCATAGTTGCTCGTAAAACATCAAAATATTTCTTAATTTAATTTGTTTTATTCTACATTCATAATTTTTATATTATATATAGTTATTTCATTAATTTTTTTGTATTTTATTTTATAATTCAAATAAAAATATTCTTGAAATTTACTATAAATTTGTAAGAACCTCGTACACACCCCAACCACAATATATTATTCTAAAATTTACAAAATGTAAATTTTAGAAGAAGAAAAAAAAAAGGAATTCATACTGACATATGTTTTTATTAATTAAACTTTGATGTCAATGTAAACAATTATTTATAACCAATTATATGTTTGTTTTATTTACTATTCTTGCCCGTTAGTCATTAAATTGTGTTTTAATTAAGATCCCTCCCTCCCCTAAAATAGATGAGTTTCGGAGAGAGATGAGAAACTGTAAGTTTCACAAGTTTAGATCTTAAAGTTCTGTTCTTATAGTGTTCTAAATAGAGAAGCAATATATAACCCTGCATAATTTTTTTCTAATTTCACATTAGGAAATTCTGCACTATTTAAAATCAGAATTCAATTAAACATGAACTATAAGATTTACAGGTATAGATCCTACAGTTCCATACTTATAACATAATATTCTTATAATATGATGCAATATATAAACCTTGTATAATTTTCTTCCAATTTCACAATATGAAATTGGAATTCATATGTCACAATATGAAATGAATTGGAACACTACACTATATAAAATCAGAATTCGCTTAAACATGAGCTATAAGTTTTACAGGTAGAGAAGCCTACAGATCTGTTATTATACTGTTCTAAACATGGCGCAATATCGTATAATTTTCTTCTAATTTCACAACATGAAATGCTAAATCAACACTACTTGAAGATCATGTCTCAATAAATTTACCAACTCATTTGTAGTGCAAGTGTTCCAACGAATTCCGCCTATAATTTCTATTTGGAGCCACACTTGGCGGAGCAGGGGTTCTTTACCGTGGGTGATAGCAATAACTAAATGTCATGAAAACGTTATTTATTGGCGATGGTTTGGGTGGAATCGGTTGACATTAGAGTGTGATTTGTTGCTGTTGCGTGCATCCGGTGACAACAAAGCTTTCCTTGCAAAAGCATTCAAATCCAGAAATTGGCAGTGTTGAAAGGTGACTCAACCTCGCCTCCCCCCCTTTGCTATTTTCCATCTGGCAATGGCCTCTAATGTTCGAATGCTGAAAGGAATTTTATTCCAATTGCGTCCTTTATTTCAATTTCCGTAACTGCGTCCGCCACTGGACGACCTTGAAAAAAAGTGAATTTTTTTTTCTCACTCATGAAAATTTAAAAGAGGAAATCCTTGGGAAAAAAATTTTAAAGAATTTTTTTTCAATGCATGCAAACGTCTTCTAGATTTTACGCTGTCTTCCGAACATCATGGCCTGTAATTGATATGGTTTTCATTTCATACAACAGGCATTGTGGATTTGTTCTAAATTGTATTTCTTTCGTGTAACAGATATTTTAGTAATATTTCCAAAATAGCTGTTATTTCACTTAACAGATATTTCAGATCTATTCCGAAATTACTAATATTTCATATGACATTTTGCATCTGTTCGTAAATGAATTTTATTTCATGTAATAGATATTTCAGATCTATTTCGAAATGACTTTCCTCCATGTTAGAAATATTTGAATCGATATCAAAAGTATCTAACAAAAGTACGTAACAAAAGAGGAAAGAAAAGGAAAAAGATGAGGGGAAAAAATTCCATAGTTTAGGACTGCCAGGAAGAAAAATATTATAATACGACAAGAAAAAGCCCTTTTGAAACCTTTTTATTATTTACTATTTTTTGATATTTTGAAATATTGTGTTTGATATTCCATATAAATAATAAAAATGGTAAGAACGCCTTAATTTATCTTAAACTTCCAAAAAAAATTACTGACTTTTTTAATTTACAAATTAATGATGAGAATAAGTCCCAATTCAAATCCACATGGCACGTCAATCTAATTTTTCGTTGTTTTTTTTTAAAACATTACGGTTGGGACAAAGTAAACGTTTAATTATTCTTTTATAAAAGTTTTTTTTAATTTTATTCTTTGCTGTTTTTTTCTTCCAATTACTATTTTGGGACTACACATAAAATGCTAATCACATGATGATATTAGGTAGTGCGATCAAAAATCCTTGTTTGAAAAAATTAGCTTTTTAAAATGTCTTGTATTGCTAATTTTTGTAAAAGAGATGGAGAACATGCTTATTCGATATTTCAATTTTAGAAAGCTTCTTACAAGCAATAATAAATAAAATAGAGCTTAATTTTTTTCTTCAAATAAATCTTGATGATTGGTTTTATATATTCTTAAAAGTTGAACGCAAAGGCAAATGCTAATCTAATTTCATAAGCCACCTACCAACTCCGACCCAAACTTCAAAAGCAATCATATAAACCTGCACTAGTCCATTGTTTATTATTTTTAAAAAAAAATACTCAATATAGACATGTATTTTTTACGGTTCTATAATTTATAAATAACCATTATTTCCCGCAGTTTTTCAATATTATACTCATTATACCTTTTATTTCACAGCATTATCCCTAACTAAACAATACAGCGGGATAGCATAAAAGAAATCCTTTTACAAAGAAAAAGCCTCAAGAACAAAAAACAAAATAAAAAATTCATAATCAAAAGAACAATAATGAACATCGTGCCCAGTAGCCTCTAATGTTTCCAGAAAATCCCCCCAGGCCCACCCATCGCCTCCTTTTTTTATTTTCATGAAAGGAAAAAAATCTTCTTTTGAAGTTTGCCGACTTGGGAAAAAGCGTTAGAATTAGGCGGGGCTTGTAAGGCAGGTGATTTGTCAGAGTGTGGCATGGGCGTTGTAAGTTATAAATTCGCTTGTGTTTTTAGAAACAGTTTTCAAAAGCGTATCAACTTCAACTTACTCACGCTGGGTTCTCTTTTTCCATAGAAATTACGTGAAGACGTGCGTGTAATGTGCATACAAAATCAAAGACTCCCTTTTAGAAAACTGAGCTCACCAACACAGTTGGGTGTTAAGAATTGTCTCAACGAAGCTGACTGCTTGATTTGTTTAGGTGTCGGGAGATTTTGGAAAAACGATGAGTTTTTTTTTCTTTTTCTTTCCCGGAGATCTCTTCCTAATCGTTGCCATGGCACCAACAAAACAGTCCCTCAAAAGTATTTTGGGCAATTAATGGAATATAATAAATAGTTAGAAGAGAGTTCCTAATTCATAGTTATTAGGTTAATATGTTCCGTACAAGAATAATTAAGCGTAAATTCGAATTGGATCATCGAATATCTCTTCGTAATCGTTTTTTTACTACTTAGATCATAAAACGAATTTTAAAAACAGGATTTTATAAAATTGCACTTAAATTTAACAGCAAAATAAAGTCCTAGATTATGATCTATGGAAAAGCATGCTGACTACATTGCCAGTGATCTTCCAATGGCGCGACCTAAACTTCTATGACCCTCTTGACAGAAAACCTAATCATCGGGAGGGTGAATGTAAGCATTCAAAATGTAAATATTTAATTAAAAAGAGAAATACAATCAATTTTCGATTGTTTTATCAAGATTAATACGTCTGTAATTAGAAAAACACATTTTTACTTATCTTTTTCGCACTTCACGTGGTGTGATAAAAACTCAATTTAGATTTTTTTTAAACAGAGATAAAAACAGTATAAGCCGATTCTTTTAACGCATTAAATGCTTCTCCCCAAACAGCAGATAGCAAGCATACTCGTCTAACTGCCATTACAACAAATAATTCAAAGCTAAATCTATAACAGGGCACTCAAAAACATTTAATCTTTTAAATGCCGGTCATAAAGTACACTCCTAATCAAAGTTTTTTTTTTCTTCCGTGCTTTATAAGTCCAATGCACTTCTTTAGTATTTTTATAGCCACACGTTTAGGGTGTGAACCGCAAAAGTATAAAGCATATCTTATTTAACCTTCAAAAAAATTGACAAAAAAAATCGTGGTCAGCGGGCGCTAAAGACCACAGCTTTATCAATTCTAAAATGACAATGAAAGCTACAAGCGGAGGAGCAGAGGGAAACAATCGTAAATAACAAAATGCCTTCACAGTCGAATTACACTGAAAGCAAAATGACGTTTAAAAAAAATAATTTTATACCTTACTGCGGCGAATGGCTTTGTTATCTTAATTTTTATTTCCAAAAGAATTTTTTTTGGAGATCACTTTCGATAGTTTAGTTGAGAGTTTAAAAACAAAAACTAAAAAAAAAAATAATAATAATAATATCTCCGCCCCTCGTAAAATGAGTTGAGGTGCACGCAAAACTTTGGTTGAAGGTATTCTAGAAAATCGCATAATATCTCACGCTTGTCTCCTTAGCCTCGTTACTAAATCACTCTTCAAATAGGAAGGGCGGAGAATCAGTGTCTTTCTTGCAACTAGACAAGTTCATTTAGTTGTTTTCAGACCTAAATTAAACGTAGTTTATGCCCCGAGTTTAGTTCGTATATTTCAACAAATTATCCGAACCACTTTTTGCATTTTTATTTAAATATTTATTTTAGAACAAGTTACGGTTGCGAACAAGTTACCATTACAATTTCCAAATTTCTCATAATATGATGATATTGATATTATTAACAATATGACGAATTGGTAGAAGAATCTTATAAAAATTACGTTGAATTTGTGAGAGACTCTTAATAATAAATTTGTAAGGTTTTTTAGTTTATAAGATTTTAAATAAAACGGTTTTAAGTTTGTAAAAAATTCTTAATGAAACGATTTTGAGTTTGAAAAACTTTTTTAATACAACGATGTTGACTGTAAAAGTGTCTTAATAAAACGTTGTTGAATGAATTTGCAAATATATAAAAATCGTAAAATTTTTAATTTGTTATTCTTTCATGACAGGAATATTGATGCGTACTGTGACTTAAAATATTCCTTTAACCCTCTTCATAGCTTCTATATTAATATTAATCTTTAAGGGCAATCAAATTTATTTCTCGGAGCAATTATTGATAGATTTTTCACCAACTTTCATAATATCGAGCATTTTACTCTCTAAAAAAGAAAGGTTTAATGCTGAGCCATGAGCTGTTTTGTTTTCGAACCTTAATAAATTGTTAAATAGAAGTAAGTAACTAAATGCAAGAAATATATACACACACGATAGTTCAATTTGATAACAAAAATAGTTGCCAATAATTTGTTCAGCGCGAGTCAATTATTTTCAACAGTTTGGGGGGAAAGAGGTAAAGGAAGCTTGCGCAGAATCGAAGAATCATAATTTTTATGCTCTACTCTCTCAGAAAAATAAATTCAACAATAACATCGTGAAAATTTTCTGAAAATGTTAGTTTGAACCAAATTTTGATTCATGTTGAACCATGCTTTCAAGTAACCAAGATTAAGAAAGGTTAATTTGAACCCTATTTTGATTCATGTTAAACCATGCTTTTAAGGAATCTATATTAAGAAAGGTTTATTTAGACAATAATATGGTTCCTTATGATGTTAAAATTGCACTAAATGTGCCCTATTTTGTAATTTAACATGCTCCAAATATTTTTTTAACAGTGTTATAACTATTGTGTATTTTTAACAGTAAACAAAATTCATTGTTTAAAAATATTCTACTGTATATATATGACGGAATCAGCATTATTATCGAATAACACTATCTGACGAAAAACCAATATCAGATAAGTAAGATAAGAAATCCTTCTTATCTAAACCAATTATAATCTCTCTATTTATCAAAAATCTATCACTGTAATAACAGTAAGCTTTGAAAACCCCTAACAACGGTGGCAACACGCATCGAATTAAGCTTGGCGAAATTGAAATATATCTATTTCCACTCTTAACACTTGAACAACAGTGATTACAGCTTAAATTACCATTTAACTGTTTCTGCCAATGAAAACCTTATTACTATTGAGTTAACGCCAACAGAAAGTAGGTTATTAAAAGAAAAATAATAATGAAAAAAAAAATGAGCATCATAAATATGAAGACATGGGGCAGGGGGATACAGGAAATCACGGGATCTTGCGAAATTCTGAATCTTCAGAAAGTTGTTTCTCTGCGACCCCGTATTAAGTTATTAGACTCCTATTTATCAAGCGTTATTAATTTGGTGTACCTGCTTTATGAGGGGTGTTATGTATTTTCTGCCCTGTCTCTTTTTTCATTCCCCCTCCGCCTCTAAACGATTATGCTTTCATTTTTTCTATTTAATGAAGAGTCTCTTCGTGATAGGCGTCGATTTTTCATCGCTTTTTTGACACTGCGGCTTGTCGCATTTTTAGCGACATAGGTTTGCTGTTGGTTTCAGATTAGGCCGATCTTCTAATAATTTCTGTCTCCCTCTAACTTCGGAGGAGCTTGACTTTTTATCTTTTCATTATTTTCTTTCCTTTTTTAAGTCATCTAAAATTTCTCTTTCTTTTATATTCCGTTTTTCTTTTTTTTTTTTTAATAAAGAGTAATCAAAATCTTTCTGACTTCTATTGAAAGCATATTCTTTAAGCATATTCGCCACTTTTTTTTCTCCCGAAGAAGAAATTTTTTTATCGTTTAGATGAGTAAACTATTTTTAAAAGCAAGATTTTATAAAACTACACTTTAACAGAATCCAACTCAACAGCAAAATAAAGCCATGCTTTGCTTATGTCTGTTACAAAGTTTTACTTTCTCACATTCAAACATTTACATTTGTGCCTTGGTAATTACATAAAAAGAGATCACGTTTTCTAGAAATAATCATACCATTTTATTCCTAGTTAATCAATTAAGATAACTCAGTTAATTAACTGATTCTGAAATTCGAATTTATGCATTGGATAAATTCGAATTTCACTATATGCGTATCACTATATTTAGAGAAATATAGTGATACGCCACAATTTTCTCCAAAAGTGAATAATGCGGGTTATCATTACATTGGTCCATTGAAGAGAAAGCCTATGCGGACAACATAATTTTTTTTAACAACCATAGATATGTCGGGCTGACATGGGATTTGATAAGTTTCAGAAAGGTTCTCTCGCAAATAATAAAAAAAAGCAAAAATAATTTGAATCATAACTCACGTGTCCTTGTTTGTCCATCTCATTGTTGGTCAGTTTGACTTTCTCGAAGGAAACAACTTGTTTCTTTAGTTGCTCTCCAGTGAAAGGTGAATCTGGATGCAAGTACAATCTTGGGGTGGAGGGTGGATCTGCTTTACCAGCCACTAGCCAAGATGATCTGTGGTACGCGTACCTGTACCTTTTATTGTCCACTGGTACGATGTCTATGTACACTAAGTATTTGCTGTGCAGTTCTGCTCCAGAGAAAGAAACTCGGACTGTGGGGAACATACGTCTACAAAGAAACGAACAATTATCAATAATTTCAGGAATCAACGATTTTAACAATTTGAACAATTTAAATGCTTCAATAATCAACAAAGTTTTTAACAATTTTAACGATTTCAATCATTAGCTAAGTAAACAATTTCAACTGCCTTATAGTAAATGTAACGAAACAAATAATTTATTTAGCAGTTTGCTGATAGAGACTTCCAAAAACACTTTATCCGTTGTCTCTTTACCCGCATAAATTGTTTTACCCGATAACATTGCACACTATTAAAAATATTGGCCCAGATTTGTTGCAGTTCTATTAAAGAATCATTCGAGAAGCAAGTTAATTTTTTTTCCACACTTAACTACACGATTCTGTGGTTTAATTGGAACGGAAACATAGTTCTACTAACTGTAATTAATATTGCAGAATATTCGTGCAACATTATGTTTAACTTTATATCAATATATTTATTTTTTGTAAGTGTACCTACATTCAGTACAAAAAGTTTTATTCGGTGACTTTTTATTTAGTTAAATTGTTCTATTACGCATATATNGCAAGAGTTGTAAAAACTTTTTTTAGCTCTGTTTATAACCGAAGGATTTGAGGCAACTAATGTCTAACAAAACTGTACTGTAGTATTGTTTCCGAATAGGGCTTAGCAATTTTCTGTGATTCCCACTATATAACAGTACTAAAAAGAGAAATATCTTTTAATAACTTACCTAAAAACGGACATTATTCTCTCTCCTCACCAAAACCACTCCCCTGGACAGTTTAAAGTGTGGTTTATCATTACATTGCCCCCTAACCCTTTACAAATTAACTAGAGTAGAAAATCAAAAATAATGTACTAGATCCGAAACAAAATATATATACGCATTACGCAGTGACATTAACAAGAAATATTTTTAAAGTGCATATTTCAAACTTTTTGTGTATGTTATTTCGCTTGAGAAATTATCAATTCCTTTCAGAGACAATTTTAATTAAATAATATTTTTCATTGAAATAAGCATTCATTTAATTTATATTATTTTAATCATTCAACGCGATGCATTGAGTGTATAAATAAGATTAAGGAAAGGCATGCAATCAAACTGCTTTAATGCAAATTTTAATTTCAGCGCCAAAAATCAAATCAAACTGATTAGAAATAAGAGCGACAATTTTTTCAGAAGCCTCTCATCAAAGAAAAGAAGACATACTTTCACCCCCAGTGAAAACAAACAAAACCAAGTAGGCGCCCAACGACCATCATTAAACAAATAAAATAGCGATATAATAGTTCGAAAACAAAAAAAGAAGAAAAAGTAGATAGGCTGTTGAAGAGGGTGAGTGGGGATGGCCAATAATCGTTATCACTAACAACATTGCTGACGCTTCCTTTAATATCGAGACTCGGGGAGACGGAGAGGCGCAAGCCTACCTAAATGGCTGAAAGACGCCAAAAAGCTGATAAAAGTCTGAACTAAGTAAACATTCACTTTGAAAACCTCTTAATACAACATTTGTTCAATGACGGCGATTAAAAATTACTAAATAACACATCTTGGTGTGAAAAACACTTCTATCTAACACTTGATTTTTGTTGCAACGTGGTCGATAATTGATACAATATTTAGTAACTCACAATTTCGCCAAAGACTATTCGAAATATGATTTTTCATTTGTAAAACGTGCAGTTACTTTAACAAATTTTTCACGTCATAATTCTGTGATTGATTGATTCAGTATTTAGTTTTCTCAATTTCGCCAAAGAAACACTATTTGACTATTACTTTGACAAATTTTTCACATCGTTATTGATATTTTATTTGGTGTATTATATTAACTGGCATATATAAAAAAAAGTGCATTGTTATCTTCAAATTTAGATTATCTGTAATATATTCATCATATTATCTTTATAAGAGCAATGTATAGATTTTTCATTATTTTTAAATACAGTCCCATGTTTGTCAAAATTTAAATATTTGTCTTAATAACCTTTATATGACTAATAATTTTGATTAGAATTCGTAAATTATATCACCATTATTTTTCATTTTATTTCGTATTGCTTTTTAACGCCTTTTTTTCATATCAGTTTAATAAAAGTTTTAATAAATATTTTTAGAAAATTTATAATAAATTATACTAATAATAAACAGTTAATTAGATATAATTATTAAATTTACACAGAGAATCTTAAACGAAATTAGGTGCATAGTACAAGGAATGTAAATTAACATCTTAAAATATGGGAATTAAAATAAATGAAATAACATGCGACTGTTGTAATTAATAAAGTAGTTTGAAAAATATATAATTCTTTTTAAGGTCCAGTTTTAAAAATTTTATTCAGAACTATTTAAAGAAAAACTTAGTGTAAGTTTTATTTTATTATTTAATTATGGAATGGAATTTTTATCTCATTAGATGAATTAGTTAGATGAATTAAAATTAGATTACAAAAGTATAAATATAACGCGAGTTCTTAAAACTGTAGTTAAACAGATGAAATTTATGAAATATTGAAGTTAATTATATGAATAGTTAAATAATGAAGTTTTGAATGAATTTGATTGTATCAGGGTATAACAGCATTTGAACATTTTATGTCATTTGCATTTATTTTTGAACATTTTATTTTTGAAACCATCAACTATTTTTTTTTTATTACGTCGAAAAAATAATGTATATATTTTCTCGATGATATTTAAAATTCATTTTTAAACTCATTACTATACCTCCAAACAAAATTTTCCTCTAAGCTCTTCAAATATTATTGCTTAAATTATTGAACTTAATATTGTTTAAACAATATTGAAATTAAACAATAATTGTGCTGAAGAATCGCTCAGAACACAGTTGTGGCGATTCAACAAAATTCCGCCCCAACTCTGCTAATTTCTCAGTAAAAGTACATCAGTTCAACAAAATAAACACCCTAACCACAAAAACGCTTTTTTTTTATTACACTTAAAAGCGATTCGAGTATTTCCTAAGAAAACGATCTGTAATAACCATTTGAAGACGGAAGTTCTCAAACTTAACAACACTTCACAGAAAATGGAGGCGACTTTATAATTTGCTCAATTTCATATTTAAATGTCATTTCTGAGAAAAACATTCTAAAAACAACACATTTGCATAAAAGCTTCAGCAGGTCATGTTATCAGTTTCGTCCTCACCCCTCCATCTATACAAGTAAAGGACTGTAAGTCTCCATGTCAATTAAGTTTTGGATAAGAGAATGTCTCGATGTGATGACCCCCATTTTATTCCATCATGGCCAAAATATAATTTAATTTTTTTTCTTCCTTGTCTTTGTTCACATTAACGAATGTCTTTTCCATTAAGGGGCGTTTTCCAAATTTAACATTTGAAGCGCAAGAGATAATGAGAGAAAAGTAACTCAGAATTTGATTTTAATGTAACAAAATGCAATGGATTTATTTTAATTTATTTATTTATAAGTAAGATACAGTTAAAAATGGCCGGTTGAAGCAACTAGCCAAACCAAGGAACAGCAATATACTTTATTTCAGCAAATCAATTAAATAAAATTTTAAAAAAAAACTACAGAGTCACCTATAATTCTGAATTAGATTCCCCCGAGAATCAGAAGGAAAAAAAAAATTAATTTCCACATAAATATTCGGAGTTTTAGTTTCTTAAATGAAATGCCTAAATTCAAATTTATGAAAGCATTTTTCAAAATTTAAACAAAAACTGATAATAATCATAATAATCAGTTTATTATATGAGTGACTCATATTTAAGTATTTAGTTGTTTATTTATTATTTTTTTTTTTTCATTTCATCAAATTAAGTGGTTTTCGAAAGTTAAACTCAATAAAAAAGATTCCGTGAGATTATTTTTTTAAAAAGCTGTGAAACAAATATTAGAATTCAATTGCAAATAATGCAACCAGTAAATTAGCAAGAGTTGTAAAAACTTTTTTTAGCTCTGTTTATAACCGAAGGATTTGAGGCAACTAATGTCTAACAAAACTGTACTGTAGTATTGTTTCCGAATAGGGCTTAGCAATTTTCTGTGATTCCCACTATATAACAGTACTAAAAAGAGAAATATCTTTTAATAACTTACCTAAAAACGGACATTATTCTCTCTCCTCACCAAAACCACTCCCCTGGACAGTTTAAAGTGTGGTTTATCATTACATTGCCCCCTAACCCTTTACAAATTAACTAGAGTAGAAAATCAAAAATAATGTACTAGATCCGAAACAAAGTAATATCTATTTCCCGCAAATGAAATCTTCACAGATTTTGGCAGTTGTAATTTAATTAAATTAGTAAAATGTTGCCCGTTCTTTTAACATTTAATTTGTGGACATGCCCTTGATTGTTTTTTGAATGTATTTTCACCAAAGTGTTATGGCAGATAGCGCTCGCTACGCAACTACTTACAGAATTTCGCTATCGTCTTCTCCAAATGGACCCGCGGAAAAGCAGATCGGCGCTGCGCGCGACGACTTCCATTTTAAGTACTTTATTAGCTTCCAAGCTGTGGCCGCCCCCATTTACAGAGATAACCCGATGGAAAGGGGCAGTTATCGAGTTCAGCCCCTGATATGCTCAGCTCGGGTCCGGTATCAGGACTACGGAGCCCCGGTATCACCCGTCTTTACTGAGTTTTCGGCGCCGAAGAAAGTTAATCCCCCCTTTTTTTTGCAGCCATGTTATTTCTTTTTTTTTCTGTTCGCTATCACGGCGTGAGAAAACGATTTTTTGGCTTTGTAATTAAGTCGGCTACTGTGCCTTTGTTTAAGTTTCTTTTGTATACGCCGACATTAGAGCTTTTTTTGGAAGGAACTTCAGAATTATGAATTTATAAATAATTATTTTAAGAATAAAAAAATTTAAAAAAATTTTTTCCAATAAAACATTTTAAGTTGTGTACGACCAACATATTAATAATTATTGCTTAAGTAATATAAATGTCACGATCCAATTTAAAATAGTAAAATTTAGACTTTATGAATTAAGAGATGGAATTATTAGTA